TTTAATCTCCGAAAACAGCAAGGATGATTGAGTCTCCGTTTAATTCACTAATTTAAATTTTATCGATTTGAATTTTTTTATTTGAATAAAAAAATTTAAATTATATGCTTTAAATTGACGTTTAAATGTGTAGTTAAAATTTTAATCTGAAAAGAGAATAAAATTTAAATTTATGTTTAGTAAGTGTGAAAAACACAGATTTTTACTCTTCATTGAACTTTAAGAGAATTAAACTCTAAGTTGAATAGTTTAACTCAGTTTAAACAGAAAATATAGTTATAACTGAGTGCTTACCAAACACGAATTCAAACTGTGTTCACTGTTCAACTGCTGAATAAGTTGAGGAACATTTTTCTATTCTTTCTAGACCAAGAAACTAAGATTATTAATTGTGCAGTATCAGCGCCTATGATTAATGGAAACTCTAGTATAGTAGTTGAAATGTGGAATTTATCTTTGACAGTTGATATTAATATGTGACCTTTAAAGGTTCAACGCACATGTATGATAGTGACCTCTTGATGATTTGTACCCTTATAAAAAACGAAAAAAAATCATAAAACATACTCAATATGATAAAAAAAATATTTATTTATTTCAGATATTAATTGTTTATTCAATTAATAATAGGAGGAACATAGTAAATAACATATTTTTAAAATTAAATTAAATAAATAATTTATTTTAAAGCTATTTGAAGTAAATAACATTTTATCGCGAGAATGTTTTATTTATGACTACTAAAAAAAATTTCAATGTAAATTTTATTTTCATAATTGATAAAAAGATTTTTTTTACATGAATAAAGATTTTTTACCACTTAAATTAGTGTTTGCTAGTCGTAAATAAAATAATTACACGGTAAACTACTATTTATTTTAAATAATTTTAAAATATTCTATTTATTTAATTTAATTTAAAACATATACTATTTACTATAATTTTAAAAAGACATTAAAAATTACATTAATATTTAATTATTTAGAATGACATAACCCCTTATTTTATGTGGCCCAAAGTGGAAAATTTCATAAAATAATAAAAAGCTAGTTTTTTTTTTTTTTTTGGGGGATTAGAAACTATTACCCTTAATTTGAAGCGACATGTACAATAATAGTTTCTATTGATAAGGGAGATTCCTCCATACAAATGACTCTATTATCTATATTAAGAGTAGAAAAAGCCAAAAACAACAAAAAAAAGGCTGCATGATTCGGTCCCAAAAATCATGAAAAAGCTAAAAGTTTAACTAAATTGGTCCTAATATAAATATAATGAATCGTGTAAGGAGCGATATATATTAAGCTGTCAATAATGATTATAAAAAAGGACAATAATTCAAATAAATTAGTTGTCTCTAATTATCAGAAAAGGAAAATAATTAAAAATTTTGTTTTAGAAAAAGTTATGGCCATTTGATTTTTCTTTTCAAGATAATTAAGCATGGAGTTGCTAAAAGTAATATTACTCGTTCCATGTTCCTTGTTGAGACGAAAAAAAAAATCAAAAAAAAAAAGAAAAGAAAAGAAAAAGAGAAACAGAAAATGGCCAATGATAAGCAAACACGATAAGGGACGAGCGAGATAGCATTATCAGCCCTCTGCAAAGAGGGACCCATCCCTGAGACCCCAAGGATGATGTGACTGAACGAACATCCGCTAGAATAACTGAATATCAACACGTGGCCAACAAAACTCTACTGTTTTAAATTTTAGGGAGTTTCTATTTTAAGTCGGACTTGTTCAGATCAAAGTCATATTAAATTAAAAAAATATAAAAAATAAATAATTTTTAATATAAATTTATAATTAAAAGTAAAAAATTATCAGTAATTTATTTTTTATTAATTAAAATTAAATAATTATCGGTAATTTATTTATTTTTAAGTACTAACAGAGAAGCTGCCTAAATTTTATTTAACATCCTACAAATTCGAAGCTTATTATTATACAAAAGAAAAGTTGCTGGGCAACAAAACTGGACTGCTTTAAATCTTTATTTAGCATCCTAAAAATTCGATGCTTATTATTCAAAAGAAAAGTTGCTTACGATTGCTTCCCTACAACCTCCATTTGGCATTTGGGGCCATGTTCCATCAATCCTCATGCACGCGAACCTCGTGGACCTAATTTTATAAATATTATGATGATCGATTTTTTTTTTTCCCTTCTTTCTTGTCTTCAAAAGAATTAGCAAGCACCCCCATTAGAGGAGCCTTCCAGAGGACTTCTTCTTCTCTTTTTCTTTTTTTTTAATTACTTTTTCTATTTCATTGGATGAATCAACTTTTGCAAATTGTGGCTAGTAAGTGGCTTTAAACAAAAATAGAAAAAGAAACTCGCTGCCTGCTCTCTCCTTTTCTACATCATTCCTTTCGTCTCAAACATTATTTAGACGAGTAATTAAGCATAAAGCTAATACGAAAAAACCAAAGCCGCCCAATAATTCCAAAAAGCAAAGCAAAATCGAAATCAAACTCGCAATTTCATCACAAATTTTACAAGCTCCTCTATATTACACAGGTATTTACAAGTTTGTGGTTTCTTTTTCTTAATTTGTTTTTCTCTTTTAATATAAAGAAGAAAATCACAAAGTTTTTTTCTCTGTGTTTGATTGTCTGGATTACATGGACACGGAACATGAGACGTGGTGGGGGCACTTATGCTGACACGTCTGAGGGTCTCGCAGCGGCGCTGCCGGATCTTGGTTGCCGTAGAAGTTCTATTAGTGTCTCTGCCTGTCCACATAAAACGACACAATAAACGACAAAAAGAACGCATTATTGTGAGAGATAAATAATAATAATAAAATTTTAAAATAAACCAATCCAACTGACCCAATATGGAACTCAAGGAGATTAAAAAGACGTACAAAAGAAAAGAAAAGAAAATTATACCAACAACATAAAAAAGAAACAACAAAACCAAAAGGGAAAAATTATTATTGTAGATTAGTGGAGATATCAGCACTCCACCGACCAGAAAGACAATTCTAGGCCTAACGCAGCTAAATCATTAGCCTGCAACATTTGAATGTTCTGGTCCTCTGGAATGTAATATGGTAAATTCAGAAGTATATGATTTCGATTTCTTTCTTTTTTTTTTTTTTTTAAACTTTGTTTGGAAGAAAAGAAATAAAGAAGAAAATAATCCAAAAAAAGAAAAAAAGACAAGGCAACCCAAGCAAGTTAAAGAGCCCGTTTGGTCGGAGAAAGCCAAATGACGTGGCTAAACAGCGTTCACTTCCATACGATTAGAGCAAAACAAAAAAGCAGCCATAGAAACGGCGAAGAATTTTTTTCAAAAGCGCCGTGCCACGTCACCCACCAAGGGTCACCGACCGGAGAAGAGAATGACTAGTGGTGTCAGTCAGGCAGACCAACAAAATCACTGACAAAGGCCACCACGCCAAAAGCAGAGCTCAGAGAATTTAGAATGGAATGAGATTCAGAGAATTCCTCACCTTTTGCTTGGCGCGATTGGTGCCGGACTGAGTCAAAGCCACCAGAGGTGGAATCGCTCCTTCGCGGGACACCATCGTACGGTACACCACGCTTTCCTCGCAAATCTGCAAGAGTATCGCCACCGCAATCTCCTTCCGCCTCTGCGAGCCGACCTCGATTATCTCTACCAGCACCGGAATTCCGCCTTCTTCCACCAGCGCCGCCTTCGCCTCCGCTACAGATACCAGCACGCTCATCACGTACGCCGACTTGTCCACCATGTTCGACCCGAAATCCGCCATCAGCTCCACCAGCGGCTTCATTATCCCCGCGTGCACGGCCCTGATTTTGTTCTCCTTCACCGAACAGAGCGAATACAACGCCGTCGACGCGTCCTTCTTCCCGCGGATTCCGCCGCTCTCCAGGAGGTTTACCAGTAATGGAATCGCTCCCGACCGTCCGATCGCCACCTTGTTCTCCTCCACCTGCGAGAGCCGGAGCAGAGCGCACGCCGCGTTCTCCTTCGCCGTCGCCGTCGCCGTCCTTAGCGCTCGGACCAGAGGCTTGATCGCTCCCGATGAAGCTATCAGCTCCTTGTTCTCGTCGCAGAGGGAAAGATTCAGAATCGCCGTGACTCCGTACTCCTGGAGCTGGAGATCGGAAAAAGGAGCGAAATCAACGGCTTGACGGCTCCGGCCTTGGCGATCTTGAGCCTATTCTCGGATTTGTTCTTCGCAAGGAGTCTGATCTCCATGGCCGCTTGCTTCTGGTCCTCAATCGAACAGGACTCGAGGTCGGAGACGAGCTGTCGGATTAGCTCGTCGGAGTTATCCGTCGCGCAGGCAATCAATAGCCGCCGGCTCTGATTCGAAGCCGTGGGAAACTCGCCGGATCTATCACTGTTACAGTCGCTGAAGGCGGAGGAATCGTCGTCGACGCTCAGATCACTGAAGGTCCTTCCCATGTATGTGTAATTCGAGGGATTTTCCGTTTCCATGGGGGCAAGAATTCAACCCTTTCACTGCATCAAAACGACGTCGGACGCTGCGATGGATGATATGTAAAAGCTGAGAAAATCGCCCCTGGTAGTTCTTTTGTCAATTTGATGGGATTTGGAGTGATAGAGTGAAATGGTGAATGAACGAATAAAAGCTAAAAATATGGAGGCGAGAGAGAGAGAGAGAGAGAGAGAACGTAGAGACATTAACACCTGGACTAAGCTCTTGGGGCCTGGGCGGACACGTGCACATTTCTGACCACATCAAATCTCAGTCGTGTGAGCACGTGCGAGGGTATCTTCTCTTTAAAGGCGTGCATGGAAAGTTCGCTGTTTGATGTTTAAAGAGAGGCGCTTCGAACTAGAAGTTTGTTGTTACTGTTATGGAAATTAAGAAAATCTAAAATTAAAAAGAAAAATTTTAAAGAGAGAATTTAAAGAGAGTTTTATTAATTTTGTAAAAGTATATAAAATGAAGAGATTTAGGGCCTGTTTGGTTCGTTAATTCGAGTTGAGATGTGATGTTGTGTGAGAGTTTTTTACTGTAGTAAAAAAGTTAGATGTAACTGTTTCTGAGAGCTTTTTACTGTAGCAAAACTCGAATAAGCGAAAAGAACGGGGCCTTAGTGTCTATTTATAAAAAAAAATTTAATACTATTCACGATTATTATTTACATAGTAAAATTTTGATATGTACTATAATTTTTATTGATTTGCACAATAACTTGATTGAATAGAATGTCTTATTAAAAACCTTGTTAGAAAAAATTTAGTGGGATAAAAATCATAGCAAAGGAATAAAAAAGTACATTTATCTATATATGTTATGCTGCCTCGTTAACAACCTTATAGTGAGATAAAACCATAATAAGAGAAAAAAAAGTACAGCAATGTAGACTCCTTTTCAAGTTAATATGTATATGTATTCCTTATAAATCTCACAAATGACGCATCCGATACTATGGATATGCTTTCTAAATGTTGTAGTAAGAAGTGCCTTTGTGAAAAGATCTGTTACATTGTCACTTGATCGAATTTATTGAATATTAATATCCTTATTCTTTTCGAGCTCTTGAGAGTATAAGAAGAACTTTGGGAGTATGCGTTTCGTTATGTTGCTTTTGACATAACATTCTTTTATTTAAGCGACACATGATGCATTATCTTTAAATAATATTGTTGGATCTTTACTGATAGATAGTCTACAAGTTTCTTAGATATGTTGAGTCATAGACCTCAGCCATACACATTCTCGACTTGCTTCATGGAGTGCAATAACATCGACATGATTTGAAGAAGTGGCAACAAGTGCTTGCTTTTGTGAACGCTATAAAACATCAGTACCTCCACATGTGAACACATATCTAGTTTGAGACCTGGTTTTATGTGGATATGACAAATATTCAGCATCTGTAAAACTAATCATCCCTTGTTTTGATCATTTAGGATAAACTTATCCAAAATCAAATGTTCCTTAAAGACGGAATATATCTTAATTCCGTCCTAATGTCCTCGTGTAGGAGATGAGCTAAATCTTACTAATAGATTAATAGAAAAGAGCTGTATCTAGTCAGGTACATAAGAGCTCTTTTTGCACTTAAATATGGTACTTCAAGACCGATGACTTCTTCATTACCTTCACAAGGGCAAAATGGATCCTTTTCAACATTAAGTAATCTAACAATTATTAGAGTACTTAAAGGGTTTGCTTTATCCATTTTAAAGCGTTTTAAGACCTTTTTAGTATAATTTGATTCATGCACAAGTATTCGCATTTCAAGCCTTCATCAAGATGTTTACGAAGAAAAATCATTGCTTTCGCCTTTTCTTGTGGTGACTTATTATTATTTTCTTTAATGGTATCGGTAAGACCCATCGACTCTAGATGCATTTCTGCATCTATGATCCAAGACATATAATTCTTTCCCCTGATGTCGAGTGTAACGAACTTAAGTTTGGCAAGATTCGACATGGTGATAACTATAATAGAACATCGATATAATAAGAATCACAATATTATTATTACAATAGAGAGTACAATTAAAATTACATATTAAACATAATAGCAATAAATAAAAGGACAAATATTAAAAGTATGAGTATTGCAAGGAAAAACTGAAAATCGTGTGGAGAATGATCTCCAAAAAAAAGAGCAAAAACATAGAAAATGATTACTAAAATAACAAACATCATCATCATATTCGCCATATCGTGAAGATTATATTAAAAATAGTGAAGAGAATATGGGAAGTGAAAGATAAAAATATTAAGAAAAGAGAAGAAAAGATGAGAGGTGAATTGCATGGGTTAAGAAAAACTACATTTTATAGAGTAAAAACTAGCCATTTATAGTCGTTATATAGCTGTTAATAATAATGTAAAAATCTGTTATATTACCGTTAGAAGTGGGAGAAAAATTGCAATTGTATACCTCAAATGATGTAGACAAATAAACAAATGAGAATAGTAATATGCATGCAGAAAGTGCAATGAGAAATTATTACTTGCAGATGGCATTGCCGTCCATTTACGAGAATACAAGCACGTCAAACTACTTGGTAAACCTTTTGAAGCGTATGTAACGAAAAAATTATAAAAATTATAATATGTTGGTGGCATAACCCTCCTTTGTATGAATATAAAATAATAAAGTATACTTACATATCTTTCACTTGAATTAATAAGGGTAGAAACCTGTAGGACTAGGGTTAGGACCTACTTTCTTTTAACTTTAAAGTAGATGCTTGTAACTGGATCAAAACCTCATTTCTTTGAATTAATGAATATAGACAATCACAGTAAAAATTGAATGTTATTGTTGATAACGTGTTATGAAAATTAAAAAAAAAAAGCAAAATTAAGAAGAAAAACTTTAGAGAGAGGGGGTTTCATTAATCTTACGAAGGTAAATAAAATGAAGAGTCTTAGAGTTCTATTTATAGAAAAATTTTCAGCACTATTCACGGTTATTATTTGCTTAGTACTTACTATTTACGGTTACTATTTATACAATAAGATCTTAACATGAACAATAACTTTAACTGAGTTGCATAATAACTTTGATTGAAGTGGACAACTACTATTCATAACCTATGTTATTTTTTTGTTTGACTTAATATTGTCATTGTCTTTGTCTTTCAATTAGAGCCGCTTGTTGTATTAAGATATTATGAGGAAATATATTAACAGAGAGAGATATAGATAAATAAATAGGGGGAGAGAGATAGGGATATATATATATATAGATAGATAGAGAGAGAGAGAGAGAGAGAGAGAGAGAGAGTTAACTTACTTGTTTTTTTTTTTTTTTTAATATTGACTAGGAGTGTTCACGAAATCCCCAAATCTGATTGATTCGCGAAACCTAATCCAATCCAAAGTTTTAGATGAGATTGAAAATAGTTTTGGATCCGACACGGATTAAGATTTTTCCTTTTGGATCAGATTGGGAATTGAGCACTTTCCAATCCGCAATCTGAAACAATATATATACATATATATAATTTTTATAATTATATATATATATAAAATTTATAAGTTAATTTTTTTAATTTTTTTTTAAAATCTGGTATATACTTAGTGTCTCATATCTGATATCGCTACTATAAAGCCCATATCTGATATCCTTAGTCCCTACTATAAAGCCCAGTCCAATGTGAAACTCTATTTTTTTTTATTAATGTAACAATTTAGATGTTTATTAATATTTCATGTTGTGTTTATTTTGTATGGATGTTTATTAATTTATATTTTCAATAGTCAGAATCCGTGAGCCCAATCTGTAAAATTCGATAGGATTTAAATTGGATTGGATCCATTCTGAAAAGGTTTTAGATCAGACACGAAGTACAATTTTCCCAATTCGCAGTTCTGAATTGGATTGCAGATTGACCTTCAATCTGTGGATTGGAATCTCTGAACACCCCTAATGTTGACAATTCACGACTTATATCTTTGAAATTCGTTATAATGTTGGTCAAATTGGAAAAAAGAAGTTTAAAATTTGGACGGTTTTTTCACATGAATGTTCAATTAGGCTACTTCTAGTCTTTTATTTTATTTTATTTTATCGAATTAGTCTCCATATACACACATCATGATTAAAAAAATTTTGAAATTGAGGAACCTCAATTTTTTTCCTAAAACGGTTAATCCCTAATTTTAAAAAAAAATTGCGCCCATAATGTCCATACAAAGACTAATTCGATAAAAAAGACTAAAATTAATCTCATTACACATTTACATGAAAAAAACCGCCTACATTTTTAAATTTATTTTCAATTTGACTAATATTGAAAATTTAAAAATAAATTATCAAGATTAAAAGTTGAGAGACAAATTTATCAAACGAGTATTTGCATCAAAATACATTACTAATATCATTTATATATATAGGTTCTCTCATTCATTCTTCAATTTTTAATTTTAACCGAGGCAGGGGATTTTATTCCCGTCCCGGGGCAAAGTGCGTTTTGGTACCGTATCGCTGTATTTATTGGTCCACGTGTCGATTTTAGAGAGAGAATTGTTTGTTTATTGTAGGGCTGGTAGTCCGAGTAGCGACACGACGACACAACTCGAAACCCGCACGAAATTAGCGGGTTTGGGTTTATCATAAATATGTACGGGTCAAAAGCAGGCCGAACTCATGAAACACGATTAAAAAAAAAAACCATAACCCGTTTATTAAACGCTTCATATTTGGGTAACACGAATACACAACCCGTTTATTACCCATTTTATAAACATGTTAAAAAATAGGTTCAAAAATAGGTTAACACGACCCATTTATCACCTATTTTATAAACACGTTCAGAAATAGGTTGATAAATAAGTTAACACGACCCATTTATCACCCATTTTATAAACGGTTGACAGGTAATCAATGGGTTGACACGATACGTTTATGACTTGTTTAATAAATTAGTTATTCGTGTCGTGTCGTGTCAACCCGTCAATATACAGGTCGTGTTTGAGTTTTATATTTTAACACGATTAATAAACGAGACGTGTTCGTATCAGATCTATTCATATCAACTAAAGAGATCAACACGATACGAATACAATCCGTCAACCTGAGTTGTCACTCCTAGTTTATTGTTGCTTTAGTCTCGGATTGCACATGGCTTGATCAATCATGAGGGTCTGTTACAGGTCACCCCACGTACGGAGCTGGTGTGTTCATACAC